TTGTTATTTCCCTTGTGTATGGTCAAAGGAACACTAACTGGACTTTCATTTTGTTAAGGAACTTACAGAGAATAAAAGGGATCGAACATTACCAACACTCGTGAATCAAGGTTACGGTAACACGAATTTTCGTATTGTAAACTGGACAGCGTCGAGCGTTTCCCTAGTTGATCTAGACGAATAAACGATGGATTTTATGGCTGTTACACAATAATTAAATTATTTAATACACCCAGTTCTGCGAAATTGGGGGTGGGGGTGGGGGTTGCTGCTCAACAAAGTTTTATGCAGGGAGCCCTAATCTGCTGCAAGTTTTAAACCCTTACCATGATTCCTTCATGAAAAAGCCTTCTTGATGAACAATAATTTTAATTCGTCAATGAGAAGGCTATTTCACGGACCATTAGGTGCATTTACATGTATTTGAGACATTTAAACTGCCCTTTTAAGCGTCCTGCTACACTTAACACAGAAAATGCAGTGGGGAATGTGACGCTTAAATACCAGCAGAAAATGCATTTTTCAAGATTCTGACCAGTCTGGCTAGAAAACATATATTAAATTGTGATAGTCGTATTTTCAGATGGCCAAGAGGTAGACAAAATGCCTTTTAGAGGAGTTGTGAAGTGCAAAAATATGTACATGTAGACTGCGGACAGTTCAACTTCCAGAGCTCACTTTACTGTAATACATTATCATTATAAGTCAGGCAACTTGCACGCAAAAGCATTTTTGAGCATTTACCATTCTGGGACCTTCCAGCATGTATTTTGTCAGTTTTTTACCACTGAAAATTGGACAATTGCAGAATGTGTGCTATCATTTACATGTTCTGTAAGCAGGGCTCGCAAAAAATTTGAGTTACTGCTTGCCCTTTGGACAAGTGGGAGGCACAATGACCTCATGGTTACTGCACTTGACCCCAGATCAAGTTGTCCACAATCAAGCCCTGGCTCAGGGGACATTGTGTTGTGTTCTTGAGCAAGGCACTAACTTAACTCTCACAATGCTTTTTGCCATCCAGGTGTGTAAATGTACTGATGAATTTAATGCTGGGGGTAACCCTGCAATGGACTGGCATCCCATCTATGGAGGAGTAGAAAAACTCCTAGTCACTCCATGTTAAAGAAACCACTGAGGATAAGCTCTGGTCTGATGGGCCACTTGGCTCGCATGCAGACTTTACCTCTCCAAAGTAACTCAATCTCAACTTTTACTTGCCCTGGACAAGTCTTTGCTCATCAGGCAAGTGAGAATGAAAAGTTAACTGCCAGAAGGAAAATCTACTTGTCCGAATAACGGGACGACACTTTTTTGAGCCCTGGTGAGGTGAGATATGTGGCAGCTATGGGGTGTTTTGGGGCCTGCTGTAAGTACATGCATGTGAAGTCATCAGCTCGTCACATTAGAGACCTTTAGATCCACGTTCACCACAAATGTCTAACTGCAATTTGAGGTTACACTTTTGCCATTTGCAGTTTGGACGTTATTAGGTAAAGATTGTCGGAATAAATTGTATCGAACAGAAATCATCCTGTCAATACATTGGAAATTGTCAAAATTATGCCAAAAAATTGATAAAAAAAAGTATGACTGTATTCTAACATGTTCAACTTTCTTTAACAAATAAATAAAGAAGCCTAAGCCATGTATTACACGGTGAAAAAACATGACGGGAATTTGAGAATGCGAGGGAAATGTAGAAAACACAAGCCACAGCTTAGGCTTACTTCATTTGCTTTATGATATAGAGCTAATATGGCAAAAACAATAGAACACACTTTTTCTATGTTTTATACTCTGATAAAAATGGGTTTTTGACCAATCAGAGGGTGTGCAGGGTCCTATCTATATTATAAAAGGAAATAAAAGCATCAATCATAAAACAAAGATTCAACTTAAGCTGCTGCCATATTGGATTTCCACAAGGATTAGTGCCTTTCTACAAACAGCAACAAAAGGTAAGGTAATTGCTTAATATATGCCTGAAAATTATAACCAATTTGTGGAAAAAGGGTTACTTTATTTGATTTCAGCATCTGTTTGTGGCATAAAATAAATTCAAGCCCATAAAGCTTGAGGTAAATGACTTACATGAAAACCTATACCTCTTGAAGTTCAAAACATGAGTTAGAAAACCTCAAACATGACATCTAGCTCTGGTCACATGACCCCTAGCCGTTCATGGTAAACGTAGATCCAAAAGTCTCTATTTTCATTACTTATACACAAGACTTACCTTGGCACTTCCCTTTAGAAACCATGGTGATGCCACCAAGCTTACATGACGTCATGTCTAAGTGACAACTACTTTCATAAGTGATACCATCTGAACCACAAACTTCTTCTCCAATGGAGTCTGGGCATGAGTCGCGACATCTGCATTCAGCATGATTGTTTTTATTCACAACACATACTTGCCCCTGGATGGTGCATCTCT